ATGAGAAGAGTACTGGTACAATTCAATGCATCGTGTTTTTAAAAAAAAAAAAAAAAAAAAAATTGCAGGTAAGCAGTAATTGTATTTACTCTTCAAGAGGTTCACAGGGACCTCTTTGAGAGGTACAGGAATACACATACAGTGTTCAGCAGCCTCATTTAGTAAATTCACTGTGAAAATTTATGTTGTCGTATTTTTCAATAAACTCAGGGCTGGGGGAATTTAGGAGGAAGAAGATCATTCCCCTGTGGACAGATGTACTTTTACTTGTAGAAGAGGATAGGCTTATTTTCTACAGCAGATAAATCAAGTTGCAGATCAATGCCTGAAATTTTAGGAATGAGAAGATATACCCAGAAGATACGTGCTTTCTGAAGGGAGGAATCTCTTTTGTTTTCTCCCCCCCATGCCTACAGTGTTTCTCTTGCAAAAATGGTTTCTCTGCTATGGATACAACTGACCTGTTTTTAAAAGAAAAGCAAAGTCTGGAAGAAACTGATTAATGATCCAAAGGAATATAATGATCTGAACTAATGAAGTAAATGGAAATATTTATGTGCTTTATGTACGCTGTACATAGTTTAAATATTTTTAAAGTTAATATTCTACTTGAAATGGCATGTTATTCTCTATTAAATCCTCTTGGTACTATGATAGTTAAACTTCCTAGTTTTGGGACAGAAGTTTGGTTTATAATTTTGTAATAAAGTTGAAATGTGATTTAGGTAACCTTGTTTTCTGACTCTGTTGCCAGCAGGCTAAGAGAAAGCAGAGATCCTACAGCTACTTCTGAACTTCAACCAGAAAAGGCCTGGCATACCAGATGCTTAAATATCATTAGAGGGTGGGGTGCAAGTACAGAAGAGGTTGAAGGAAATAAGTTAACTGAAAACACTAACTTTTTAGCAGTACAATCTTAACTTTGTGAAGATTACAAAGGGGAGAGCACATTCCGTATGTACCCGACTAAGGGAACCAGTAAACTGGCCAACTCACTTTTCCTGTCATAATGCACGCATATGGTCTGAGCCTACACCTTCAGGGCTCATGCAGAGTTACTCAGCAAATGCACACTGGCATTTGGAAGATAGTTAAAATGAACCCCTATTTCTAAAACTTATCTTCCTTATTTCATTAGTAGTCAAGTACTTGTAATTGTTTTGAACAGGTCTCTCAACTATCCTAAAAGATCCAGGTGGTAGAGTTCCTTTCTCAGCTTTTTCTTGTTGAAACATGAATAGCAGCACACACAAGCAACATATTCTAGAAAACAACCACTCCAACAGGATGCTTGGATAATGCTCAGCAGTTGGCTGTAATGGAAGCTTGTTTGGTGTCCTAGTTTTATTATGAAACCTACAGCAGAGGTGTAAACTGCTATTGGATACAGACCTGTGCTGAATGTTAGAAGACAGGAAAGAAAAATCAAACCAGGAGGATGCGTGTCCTTCATGTAAATTGTAGCCATGCAGCAAAATTATCCTGGCAATATAGCCAGTCGTTTCATGTATTTGGCAGTCTGTTTGCCTGTACAGGCAGAGAATAACCTTTGGAAAATGAGTCCTGACAGCAAAGGAGAAACTGCTTCAGTTTATTTCTTTATCTATAAAAATACCCAAACTTTAAAAACCCAAGGAGACCCAGCACCTAGATGAGTGCATTGCTCTACATTATGGGCAGAAAAATGGATTCAGCAGTGACACTTCTTCAGCGAGTTGTTTTAATTAATTCCATATGTTTGCTATAGCTCTTGATAACTACCTCAGATTGATGGACTTGGGCATTTTATTTCTATCCATGTCTCCACAGAGAACTCTCACCATTTCTTCCACCTACTTAGTTCTCAGCTGTTCCCTTCAGGGCATTCTTGTGTCAAGACTGGTCAGCGGCCCCACACTGCTAGCATGGGGCTACCAGTCTCCGTTTCCGGATGCATTCCCAGATCCATTTGGGAGACACACGCTTAGCACCAGGATTCTCATCAACGTCCCCTATAACATGCGTTGCCGAGGCTGTGTCAAACTCTGGGACAAGATCCCCATCATACGCTATAAAGTACCGGCGGATTTTGTCAAAGTCCTTCACAGAGGGCGATAGGTACAGCTTCACGCCAGTGAATATGTCCAGCAGCGTCTGCATATTGTGAAAGAGGATGAGAAGCACAGGTTGGTAAAAACATTTAGGTTGGTCTGGAAATTACACTAAATTCTGTGAGGCATGAACGAGTCTATTCACAGTTCCCGAGGTTGTCATTCTAATCCCATGCCTAATAACCATAAATTGCTCTTTGGACTGCCATTAAATCATACACGAGAGCAACACCCATACAGTTCCTCTGAAAGCCAGATGTTACAGCTGAACAGTGCTTCCCTAGCTAAGGGGAATTATTACCCCATTATTCCCCTTAGTGATGATGCTGATGTGGTCCAGTAAACATGATCTTAATGTCTTTGTCTTCGCAAGCTGATGCTTCTTAGTTAAAGTAGAACATAACCGTGCTGGGAGGGGACTTGCTGTTTACATCGGAAGA